TAATCATGTTCGACACAACGATTTTGCGTGGGCAATGGGATAAATGCGTCCCAGTGTTGGAGGATATTGAAACCTTGGATGCAGCTGAAGCATTGTTACGGTAAGCATTTGTACCTGGTGTTTTCTAGAGCCAGAGCACGTTGCGCGTTGGAGAATCCCTAGCTGGGGTCGTATTTGGTCGTGTTTGACTGGAAAAATTGTTTTGCTAGTCAATAGTTCCTGCTTCTTGCGCGCTATTTACATCTTTGAGAGAACTCCAATAGGGGGGGGGGGGGGGGGGTGGGTCGCATTGGCTCGTCGTTGGAAGAGAGATGGTAAGTTCGTTTCTAAGAACATATAATACAATTCCTTCCTTCACCTTTCACCTCCCTCCTCCCCAAGTTGTGGCGTCATCAACGTTCTATACGACTACTATTTTCGAGTTGAAAATAGTAGTTTGTGGTGGTGATCCACCGCCATCCGTTCGACGGCAAAAATTGAAAATTGTTTTGGAAACGTGCGACAAAGTGCTAGGAAGTAGGACAAAGTTACTAGGATGTTGGTTAGATGGTAAGGGGGGGGGGCGCTTTCCACCAAAAATTTTCCCTGACTGCTGGAAGTGGAATCGCTTCTAGAGCCTCTCTCAAGTGATTCATCGTTCAGATGCTCAATCTTGTGGCTCGAGTACGCATTACGTAGACATGAGACGAGAGGTTACGACGACGAGGTGTGACCCTCCCAAGCAGACGGCTGCCAGTCCTTCCCTGAGACCCGTTAGAAGATGGGAGATGCTCATATCGTCACCTACGTCTCTGATATCCTCTTCCGCCTGATGGGAACACAATCTCAATACGTGGCGTAGTCGTGATGGGCGACCAACATCGGCTATTTGCTGAGTATGAAACCCGCAGCTGCACATTCTTTGGCGTCGCTTTTGGGGGCCCAGCAAACACACACATAAGAGCCTTGAGATTGACGCCATGCCGCGATGGAACGGGTGCGCGAGATTACAGACGTATTACTGCTCCGCATTAGGTGACCCCCGCCCCCTCCCCTCCCACTTCAAATCATTGGAAGATGCGGTCACAGTCTGCCTGCGTCACCTCTTAATCGGAGCCTAGAATATGCCTTCAAGGCCGTCTTCTTGTTGTAAACAGGTCCACTGTATTTTCAAGTACACATGTGAGCCCCCTTTCCTGATGGTTTGAATTCACCACAATTCTAAGGAAATTGATTTTAGGAGGGCTATACTTCTGGCGGCACAAAATGAGCTGTGTGCTGCACGGAATCTTCTGGAATCAGTCTACACCAAATACGAGGCGCCAAGCACGATTTTTATTCATATGAGGTAACAGTCATTTCATTTTCTGTTTCAGGAATTTTTTCGCAATGTCATCCAAACGGGGTGCGGGGCAAAAGCTCCGATTTGCGGCGATGTAGTAGTCTTGCCTGCGCCACATTTCTATCACATTAACTCTAGATTAATTAACAGTCTCACTTTCGCATCTAATCACTTAAGTCCTGGTGCGAATATGACGCCGCCATAACTCGGATCTCCTGACTGACGCACCTTGTACATGTCTTTTGTTTTTACAGACTTCGACTACAGTTGGCTATGCTTTTGAGCGCCGAATGCCGATGGAGTGCAGCTATTGAAATGCTTCAAGGCGTACGAGAGGAAGCCGTTGGAGTTGAGCAACGAAACATCGGTGCGATGGCTATGCGAAGAATTGGTGTGGTTCAGTGTATCCATTTATCCTACTATACATTAACGGCTTATGTCGCGTGCGTGTGTTCTTATTCGTTTGTCTGTGTGTGCTCGTCTCGCCTGTTTGGCCAACGAAATATCACTATCACCTGAAGAAAGATATGGATGGGTCGTGGGTCATGGTCGGAGATTGGAATCGAGAGCATGGGACAAAACCTAAAACAGCACCCTATGACCCATATAATGAAGCCCCGCCCACAGTGGGCGGGGCGTGCGTCGAAAGTTAGCGATGTCACTGAAAAAGATTATAAACTCGGTCCCAGGGCAGTGCCCAGATGAGGGAACGGCGCAGTAAAGTTAGCACAGGGCAGAGCTACTAAACAGAGGAGACACACCCGAGATGGGCGGGGCGTACTTGAGATGGGGTGCGCGTTCCCGTGTTCACTGAAAAATATGCTATAACTCCGGCTACAAGCAGCCCGGATACCTGGGGAAACTGGGATAAGAGGTTAGCAAGGTGTTGGCAGAGCAAATAGAGGAGACACACTCAAAATGGGCGGGGCGTACTTGGGATGGGCGGCGCTTTCCATAAAAATCGGTAACTCGCTTCCCGAAAATGTATAGAGATCGCAGAAAAGTACATGACGAAGATGAACATCTGGCAAGAGTCCACCATGTTTGCGGCATGCTGATGCCGGCCCACAGAGTGGGCGGGGCGTGCATTTGAACACGAGGTACCAGTATAAAAAACCGTAGTTTGGTCCTAAAGCACTACAGATGGCAAAAAAGTGGATTATGGGCCCCCGACTGATCACATGCAGGAATTTGCGAGGCACTCGCATTGTGGGCGGAGCCAATCCAAAAAATTCGTAAAACGCTTCCAGAGCACTCCAGACACCGGGAAAAATAGTTTAAGATCAGCGAGGGGTCATCGGTTCACAAGTGTGAGGTACACCCGCTGTGGGCGGAGCGTGCACGGGGTGGGCGGAGCCAGTCTGAAAAATCCGTAAAACGCTTCCAAAGCACTCCAGACACCGGGAAAAATAGTTTAAGAGGGTCTTCGGTTGAGAAGCGCGAGGCATACGTTGTGGGCGGAGCGTGCGGCGAGGTGGGCAGGGCCAATTTTAAAAATTCCTGAAACGGTTCCTGAATGCTCCAGACACCGGGAAAAAGTAGGTCATCGAGGGGTCACCGGTTCACAGTTGTCGCGGCAGAGGAGGACATGGCGCAGAATGATGTTTAAGACACGGTGCGCAGTAGGAACCGTAAGTTTAGATGTCAAACTGATATGAGTAGGTTGCGGGGGAACTCACCTGTGATGAGAACATGCAGAAGAGTACGTCGGAAATGCCTCTGATAGGACCCTCTAGCCTCGAGCAACTTTACGAGTTCGAAGGATGAAAACCGCGGGATGACTGAAGCCAGCTGATCCTTTATCCTGTTTCATGCTACTCGCTTGGCAGCTTTTTCCCGCTAGAATGCGGGGCTGGAGGCGGAGTCACTGGAAAAAGGGAGGTGTCACTGCAGCAGTTTGACGCCTTTACGCCATTACCTTACCAATTTTCCTTCCTAAAACTTGGACAAGTTACGTCATCGCGGATCGCCCTTCCCTAGTTCCCTTACCCTGTCGGATGAAGTGTAGTACCGAGCTCATAAGATGGCCTCTTATTCAAGCAGCATTTACAGATGATGAGTGGAGACTATGAACTGGCGATGAAAAGCTTGACGGAATGCCGAAAAGACATCATACGCACCTGCTCGATTCTGGAGAATGCCATTTTATCCATCGCACTTGCTGAAGCTCACTCGCATACGGGCGACAGTAACGGTAAAGGGGCTTTACAACGACCTGTGTAGTTTTTCATAGTTGAAAGCAATCGTTCAGAGCAATTGCGATACCTGAACAAGGCTCGTGCGCAATGTCGTCAGGCAGGAGCGGTTTTATTCGAGAAGTTTGTGGTGCAAGAAATCGCTCTTTACTATCACGAGGTCAGTTTATTTTTCCTTCTAAAATTATTTGGTAGAGTTATGCTTGTTTCTCAACCAGTAGGTCCTCAATGCGTATCAAATCCCGCTGCATGCGACATTCCGCAGTAGTCGGGTGGGCGGAGACCCACAAGCTCTGTGGCTTCTTCATTGGTGCACTTCTGATCCGTTGCATGTACTAGAAGTGATAAACGCCATCAATGATTGAAAGCACAATAGTAGCAATGTTTCCGCCAGTGCTGTTATCGCGGGATGTATCTTTAGCGTCTAGGCGTGCGATCCTATTTTGCGCAGTCGTGGAAGCTGCTATGGTGAGCTGTAATTATGAAGGTACTGACCAGAACGATACTCGTCCCATATCGGTTTGAATCAATGATTTAGGTTGGCTAATAAGTAATGGACGTTTTTTTCAATTGCAAAATTTGTGTTGCAAAAGTTAAGCGTTTTGGTGCGGAAGCAAGTTATATATCATCTGATAGGAAACTTCTCGTAGTATAAGAATATCAAAAAGCTTTGGTTGAGGATATAGTTTTTGTGAATTTTTTAGTCGTTGAAGTTGGAAGTGAAGTCGGCGAAAATTAGCATCTTCGACAACTGCCTCTATTTAGAAATTTCATGCTAATAGTTGAATTAATTGAATTTTTTGAATTTGATATTCTAATACTACGAGAAGTTTGCTATTAAACGATGTTAAGCTTGCTTGCAAAACCTTTCACTTTTGAAACAAATTTTTTAATTGAAAAAAACGGCCATTGCTTATTAGCCAGCCCACTAGCAGTTATTAGCCAGCCCATCAGCAGTGGGCTGGCTAATAAGTAATGGCCGTTTTTTCAATTGAAAAATTTGTTCCAAAAGTAAAATGTTTTGCAAGCAAGCTTAATATCGTTTAATAGCAAACTTCTCGTAGTTAATTAGATATATCAAGATTTCAAATTCATGTTAATGTGTCAGCTATTAGCTTGAAATTCTTACGGTGGAACAGGACGTGAGCCTGCGCCCTAGTATTGTGCAAGGTGAAGGTTGCTTGAGACTTTAAATTCTGTGGAAAGTTAGTGGTCCAGACGCGTCCTAAGTTGAAGTTCCCTTATGCTGAAGAGTTACGCCTCAAACGCTTTTCGAAATGGTGATGGAGAGGCAGGCTGTTGAGCGATTTTAGCACTACGGGCTATAGCGTAAAGTAGAGGCTTATTTTCGCCCGACTTCACTTCCAACTTCAACGACTAAAAATTCACAAAAACTATATCCTCAACCAAAGCTTTTTTGATATTCTTATACTACGAGAAGTTTCCTATCAGATGATATATAACTTGCTTGCAAAACGTTTCACTTTTCGAACAAATTTTTCAATTGAAAAAAACGGCCATTACTTATTAGCCAACCTAATATATTTACTGAGCTTGAGAGGCTGCTCATCGCCTAAAATAATTATAGATAAACAAAAGAGAAAAATAACGATCTGTCCACGACTTCCCAGATTTTGGCATACTTTTATTGTTTGCATCACAATCGACAGGGCGCAATTCGATCAACCAGGGGGTGGGATTTGTGGCACCTTTTGCTACTGTCCCTCGACGTGTCGGCCATCTGTTTTCGAATAGCTGTTGTATTGAGCTTACCAAGAGTTAGCAGTTTTCTATATTAGGTGGCTTGACCAAGTTGGCTCCAGCTTCACAACAGTTCATCAGTTTTCAACTTAGAGGTGCAGACTTGTAAACCGGGCGAAGTAGAGTGAAGCAGCAAAAAAGTGCAGAACCTCCCCCTCCCGTCATCAATTAAAGGAACATTCTGCGATAAACGGATGGGCGGAGATTCATGGCCATTGTAGTTTCCTGATCAGCGCGCTTCTCCTCTTCACCGTTTGAAAGAGAAGAGCGAGAATGAGAAAAGGCATCGAATAGCGCTATAAGTCTCCGGCAGCCAATCATTTGTGTCGGCAATGGGTCTAAAACCGTGACGCCAAGTCGATTTGCTATGGGACGTGCAATTGGGAAGGGGGGCGCCAGAGGTGCGGGGGAGGGGGCCAAAAGTCTGTGAACAACATCACATGAATCTTTTCCTTTCAGCGCGGCGATATGCGGCGATATGGACGAGCGTGATGATATTGCCACAGAATTTGCGGCCATCGATGATCGCTATGGTGGCCATTTTGACTGGAAACTTGTCTAAAAGCACATGATCGGGTCTTCATTAATCTCGACAATTACAGTAGTATTCCAGCCATCTGAGACTGGTATACAGCCTTGTTCGCTGCGAACGCTGGGGACGTGTCAAGTGGGCTGGGTTTGACGCTGCGTCAACTAGATTTTTTGCCAGTTGCGGTCTCCCTGCAGCTTCCATAACAGGTGGAGAACAGGCTGGAGCCTCCGAATCCGAGCCACTTTCACACGCCCCAGCGTCCGCAGAGAACAAGAGTGTATCTCTGAAGGCACAGTCCACGCACATAGTATTGTTGGAGTCAGACCTGCACCGTTGTGAGGTGGCGATCTACCCTGTGGTCACCACCTCACAGCGCCAAGCACAACAGTGGCAAGACACGATCGTAGACCGAACCATGCGACCAACGTGGAGTGTGCCTTTAGGTCCAGTAACTAGGTACAGAAATGCCTTGGTGTCTAATCAGTTTGTTAGTGTTCCAGGACACATTTTCCTGGCCAATTATTTAACCTTTTGTGTACGGGCAAAAAGCGATTCATCGCTCAACCATAATCTCATTTTTCTAGGTTATCATTTTTGTTGTTTTACATTTCGAAACTAATGCATTACGGTGATGTTTTAATAAAAACGTGTTGTGAATGAATATATCAAAAGCTTGTCTGTCGAGTGGTTGGTCCACGAATTTCGCATTATTTTGAAGGATTATTGGGCGCTGGGGGGGGGATCATTTTGCACTTTTGCTAATGCCCATCGTCGTGTCGAGCCATCAAGTACAGATCTGTGAGTTC